ATGCCTCTACGAACAGAATAGTACTGAAATTTAACAATTGAAAATAAAATTATAATTAATTAATTGATTCAATTATTCTACAGCTGGTTTATGATTTCGTTCTAATATATAAATACAGCAAGTAAAATTGTTAATAAAAACTTTCATAGCAAAAGTAACAAACTCCAGAAAAATATGCGAACAAAAAAGCAAGTAGGCTTTGGATCATTGGTTAAGTGCGCATGATTCTGAGCCTTCACATTTGGCAAGACCCGAGTTCGATTCCTGGTACTTGCAGTTCAAAAATAATTTTTACGATTAATTAAATACAAGAATTAATTCCAAAGACCACTGATGAAGTATTTGCATACTGCTACGAAGACATCTGTATGGTCAGCAAAATTCATTAATTAAAATAATAAAAAAATAAAAAAAATTTTTGTTGTTGTATTTCAACTACTTGTTCGAAAAAACCTTTAAAAAATATAAAATAAAATTAGGACATAAATAATGAATGCAAAAAGAAATTAAATCCATTTTGGATTTCGAACGCTGTTCACGTTTTTATGTAACGAGTAACAGTAACCGAGAAACATATAATAGTACCGAGAAACATACATTGTGACCGAAAAGCTTTCGGAAATTCTCATTTAAAATTCGCGCGCTGTATATTTTTCGATATTTTAAGTTTATGTAGTTTGGCAGCACTGTCCTTAATTACTATGCCAAAAATGAGCGCGATCTGTCGGACAGTTCGTTTACGGCAGCTGTTGAAACCAGTTCACCTCAGTAGTGCGTTGCGAAAAAAACAATGGAAAAAAATATTGAACAAAGAGTTTGCATCAAATTTTGTTTTTCGAACGAAATTTCGTGTGCAGAATCGTTGCGAATGCTACAAAAGGCTTATGGGGAATCAGTTTTATCGAAAACTCAAGTTTATGAGTGGTACAAAGCCTTTCAGGACTGTCGTACGACCGTCGAAGACATGCCGCGTTCTGGACGACCTTCGACCTCTACCACCGACGAAAACATTGAAAAGGCAAAGGAAATCGTGTTCAAAAATCCTCATGTGAGTGTTAGAGAGATAGCACGAGAGCTAGGCATCGGTCGTGAGATGGCTCGTTTGATTTTGGTGGACAATTTGTGTATGCGACGTGTCAACGCCCGGCTTGTTCCGATTCACCTCAATTTGTTCAACATTATCAACGATTTTAAGGCCAAACATTCAATAAATACCATCGAACAGCCACCGTATTCACCTGATCTTGCACCGTGTGACTTTTTCCTGTTTCCCAACCTCAAATTACCACTCAGAGGAACGCGTTTTGAATCCATAGAAGACGTAAAACAGAATTCGCAGAGGGAACTCAAAGCCATACCGGAAAGCGCCTATAAAAAATGTTTTGACTGATTGGAAGAAACGTTGGCATCTTGTGTATCGCTTCTAATGGAGCATATTTTGAAGGAGATAAAATAAATATTGATGAAGATTAAGAATTTTGCGTTTTATTTATTTATTTCCGGAAACTTTTCGGTCACAATGTATAATAAGTTACAGAAACCGGTATTATATCATAGTACCACTGTAAAGTAACAAACGAATTTACGATTTTGAGTATGGAGTAACGGAAACCGAGTAACCTATAATACTACCACTGCAAAGTGATAAAGAGTGTTCACGATTTTAAATAATGAGTTACAGAAACCGAGTAATATATAAGTATCAATGCAAAGTGACGAAGGGCATTTACGATTTTGAGTATCGAGTAACGGAAACCGAGTAACAGAAACCGAGTAACCTATAATACTACCACTGCAAAGTGATGAAGAATATTCACGATTTTAAATAATGAGTTACAGAAACCGAGTATTATATAAAAGTAACAATGCAAAGTGGCGAAGGGCATTTACGATTTTGAGTACCGAGTAACAGTAACCGAGTAAATATATAATAGTACTGCGAAGTGACCTACCCAAGGTGTTCTCGATTTTGAGTATGAGTTACAGAGACCGAGTAATAAATAATAGTATCAGTGCAAAGTAACAACAAATAAACTCAATTTGACAATGAAGCTTTAATAGATCGATTGTGAAGTTAGAACTTCACAGCGTTACTGTTGATTGAAGTTAGCAATATAAAGTATTTGATCATTCTTAATCATTTAAATATGCTCAGAACTGTTTTTTAAAGTGAGTTCGTTACTCGATCATTATTAGTTATCGTATATATATTAAAATTCAATATTCTCAAATTTTTTCCTTTCTTAATTCGTCCATGCACTTGCATTAAAGATAAAACAATGATTATTTTGACTCTATATGTTAGTTTCAAAATTAATTAAATATATATTTGGTTCATATTAAAAGATAGTATAATAAATAGCTAGGTGATAAATCATGCACTCGTTGCAAAATTGACTAGCCTGAAAAAATAAAAGTTCTGGAATTTTCGCAACGAAGAGTAAATATTAAAAAAAAAATATATGGAAGAAAGTGAAGTTGGATTGGATACACACTACTAAGACCCTACAATAATATATCTAGAACCTCATTGAATTGAAATCTACACGGTTTAATGTCTATTCATAAATTTATACGGAAATTCTCCTAAACAATGATGAACTCTCACACATGAGTTGATGTAAAGTTTTCTTCTCAATGGCAGAACTACAACCCCGATAAAAGTAATTATAGAGTAGATTCAGTCTCACAGCATGTCTTCTCAATACACACTGATCTGTTAGCATCAATACCTCAGTGCTAGACAAGCCTCGCTTTTGTTAAAACAGTTAACTGGTACAATTATTGTCTCATTTGAACCAAGTTAACCTTGAGATCTGACAGGAATTTTCATGTGTCATAGTATTTCAGTCATGCTTTTTGTAAAATTCCTAGCTCATCTGTTACAGGTAGGATATCAATATCCGAGTAATGAATATCAGGAGGCAGAATGTATACGCTGGTAAGTTCACATGCTCCAAATATCTCGAGATGTTCCCTTGTCCTCATGTCCGCATATATATTGGATATTGGCATGCCTAGCTAGTTTATTAGGAGAAGTTCGGCAATCTAGAACTGTTAGGGAACTAGCTAAAGCGTAATTGAAATTACTAGAAAATTGATGGCACCTTTACAGTCAAAAAAGTTTACGATATATACATCGAGCATCATGTTGCCTATGTTTGCTACATAGCGAATAACCATTACATCTGATTGAAAGACCATTGCTATGGCTAAGTAATCGAAGCGAAATGACCCCAATATGCAATTTATAGGAAAATATATCACTGCCGTATATTTATTTTAGAACTGTCAGTGTAAATGCCTACTATGTTAACAAAAATGCTTTATAAGACTGCAGTTATAAGAAAACCGAACTTAATCAGAGCAAATGTAGGTAATAAAGAGAGGGATACCCAAAATTTAATAGAGTATGATGACGTGTTCTACCTATTACAATTCTTGAACAGCGGGATAGAGCATAGCAGTACTCTTTTCGGTCATATACAATAGAAAAAGAAATTATCTTGTCCAACACATAAATATGTAGAATTTTTTTGTGAATTCGGATAGATGAAGTTGTCATATGAATGCTAACGACTTATTATTACTAATAGTGCTCTTATAAAATAAGTATTGGAACTGAATTTAAGAAGATATTTGAAAAAAAAGTTGAAAAATGTTTGATCAGTATAAACTATAATAATTTGTGCAATAAGTATCTATATGAAGTATTTTATAATTCGCTAACTTTTTCCATACTTGTCTTAAGAAGTGCATATACTTTTTTTTAGGATTTACATATTAACGCCATGAAATAATTTATGCTGTAACAAGGTTTCACATTTAATGCCATTAATATTGCAACCCAATTAAAGGAATTACCCTTGCACGTATCACTAATTTTGCAATATAAATCGCTCACCTCTTTTCAAGGACCCAGGATACCTATATATGTGTGGATCCTTTCATTTTTCGCAGAGCAGCACAATGCAAACTTCAATGTTTACGTGGTAGTGTTTGTGTATTTACACTTAAGCACGTAACGACTTACAAGCATAATTTAATTACCGACATGGTGAAGACCTCAAAATCAATCTCATCAAAAAATTATTTTTGCCTTAACCTTTAATTTAAATTTTTGCATATTTCCACTTCGCTCAACATTAAACAACCCAACAATCGTGGTTTGCATTTTTTCCCACTGAGTTTTATTTTTTAATTAAATTTGTTTTTAACATTAAAATTTTAAAAAGTTTGCTTTGACTAAAACGAACTGAATGGAATGGATTGAAGAATCTACTCGGAGCAATGGAGATTAATAACAACTTAAATCGCTGTGTATGGGTTTTGTATCTATAAGTATATATATTATAGTTGTATATCTTAAAGGAAAAGTTTAAGTATTTTTATTTTAATATATTAAATTTTATATTCTATTAGTTAAATTATTTTAATAGGACATAGTAAATTAATTTGCCTGACCCTAATCCACAGACACACCCATCGACCCTTAACGATACCAGTTGAAGTTACAAATGAAGATTTATTAACATTTATTTTTATTTTAAACATCTTTGTGTTTCCTTCCAGTGACATATTGACTTCAGGTCCAAATATCTACACAGAATCAGTAATTTTCTTAACCAACATATAGCTGTTTGTCTTATAATTATTATATATGGTAGCTTATGATCCCAACTTCGGTCCTTCACGGTCCAATTGCTGAAATCAGTTTACTATGCATACTTGAAAGGTTATTTATCTTATGCTTCTGCGGACTTTATTAACTACTCCCTAAGTAATAGACTTTTTTCAAAAAATGTTATGTTGGTACACCCTTTCTTGATATATGGTACAAATTTGAGCGCCATCTGTCAATTAGTTTGTTTACAACAGCTGTTAATGTGAGACTACCTCAAGTGCATTTGGTGATTTTTACTATGGAAAATTCAGTTGAACAACGAGTTTGTTTGAAATTTTGTATTTTTAACGAAATTTCATATGTTGAAGCATTAAAAATGGTGCAGAAAGCTTACGGAAACTCTTCTATGTCTCGAACACAGGCATACGAGTGGTATAAATCATTCAAAGAGGGTCGTGAAGCGATCGAAGATTTGCTTCATTCTGGACGTCCATCAATATCAAATACTGAAGAAAACGTGGCAAAAAACAAAAAAATTGTGTTGGAAGATCACCGTATGACTGAAAGGGAGATTGCTCGAGACTTAAACATTTCAAATGGATCCATTCACAACATTCTACATGATATATTGGGCATGAGACGCATTGCAGCTCGACTTGTACCGAAACACCTTAATTTTTTGCAAAAAGAATATCGAATGCATTTGCGTGAATTCATCCGTAATAAAAGACCTGATTTGTGGAAAGTCAACAATTGGATTCTTCACCAAGACACTGATCCATCGCACACGGCTCTTGTTGTACGCGATTTTTTGACCAAACACGGC